TATCGTTCAGAGTACAAGGAGAGGCAGCGTGAAACAAAAAAACACGGTGACCATCCAGAATGTCCCCAATCTTCATGAAGAAGCAGTCGACTTCCAAAGCTGTTTTGAGCAAACTGGTCGTTCATCCTGTCAAGTCCTTCTCAACATGAAGACATGATTGACGTCTCTGGCGTGGCAATGAACTATCACGATGATCTTGGAGGAATATACGGCCTCAAGCTGCTCAAAACACAGCGCAACCAGCAATAGTGTCAGGAAGCACAAAAAAATGGTATTTTCTTTTAAGGTGTAGGCCTCGTAGTCAATCTCCTCATCCTCATAGGTTCGGTCAAGGATTCACGACCAGTGTTTCTGCTTTTCCAGGTTGGGTTGCGATGTCGAGGAAGTTCGGAAGTCCTGTCTAAACAACAAAATTAACACCTTGATCGTTGGAAATCTCTGTGTCACTGCCACTGAGACGGCACCAGCTGACGTTTTTCCATTGTTTACTGCAGCACTCCTCAGCAAAACACAACCAATGATCGCTGTGTGAAATTACATCCATTGTTCATATGAAATTACATCACTGCAGTTCTTGAGTGAGGTTACCACTGCTGCTGTAGACTTTCCACGCTTGGAAGTAACCAGAGCTCTTCCCTGAGGAGAAAGAAAACATCGAATCTATGCGTGATGGGAATCCCCACGGGGGACCAATACTGGTCGTTTAATCTTGACCAACATGAATGGCTGCGCTGGAGGAACAACTTGCCTCTGAGCTCAATGACTGGAAAAGGGGCTGCGGTGATTCTCTTCCTGACTTTGTTCGCCTGAACCTTTCAGATCCACTTCCATTCATTTTCCCTTCTGCTTTCGCATTCAATTCATTTTACAAACCTTTTCACATCCCTGCAACAAAGCTGCACATTCGAGTTGCCAAACCAGATAAAGCTGCCGCTTTATTCTCCCTTTTCAGTTGACATGTGACCGTGGTTGCCTGTTTGCCATCAGAACTGACTTGGAAAGCAAAAATAACACAAGCAAGACTTTTTGGAAAGCAAAAATAATATCGTGAATATTCATCGTGCCTCAAAAAATGGTTTCCACGAACAGAATTGAGACAAAATGGGGAGTGGACCTCGACTAAAACCAATCGTTCAAATTCTGCTCTGAAAGGACCGAAGTCATCTTCGTTACCATGTGGCTCATGCACAATGTCTGGCATTTCACTTATCTACTCACTTGAGATGTTTTTGCATGGGAATTCCGAAGAACAGCTGCCGCCACACCACGTCCGAGTCATGGGCATCGGCCGCGCTCGCAGAATTGGCTTGAGGGGGGAAGAACCTCCTTATGAAGGTCGACCAGATGGAAAAAATCCTTGCACACTTTGCCGGTCCAAAGGCCGTTAACAACAAATGTCTCGACCTGCTCAAATCATCCAACATGAACTTCCCCTTTGAATTTCGATTGAAATCAAGATTTTATGCACAACAAAAAACGCCGTGCTCTTATGGTTGTTTTGCACACTGCTGTCCTCTGTGTTCCCAAAATTTTTTGCGTAATATTTTCGCGAACACACCGTGGTTTTCGTGCCCATAAACAGCGCTTTAGATCAGTCTCACGCAGGGGCCACCTATCTTCTTCCTCAGCGACCACACCAAAGCTACCAAGTGTTGTTCATTTAAAAAATGGTGTGTTACATTGATTTTTTTGAATATTCATTTTGAATGGTATATTGTACTTTTAACGAACGTTTTATATTTTTCAATTTGTGAATACATTGGATTCAGTTTCTTGCATAGAAGCATATGAAACGAAAAAATCTTTGGAAATACGAATTATTTTCAAGATTCATAAAACCCTAAAATTAATTTTTAATCCTGTTGCTGCAGTTATTTTTGCACTTGTGTTTGGCCGGGCAGAGGCGCGACTTGTAATCTTGAAGTGATAAAATACTGCCCGGAACAAGTAGTGTTGGGGCAGCGAATCCGGTTCCGTTACCAATGTTAAGATCAACACATGGTAGCTTAGGTTATGGTGGCTGTGAAATGAATTGAATGTGAAAGTAGAAGGGGAAAATGAAATAGAAGTGGATCTCAAAGGTTCGCGAACGATGTCGCGAAGATGGTCACCGCACCGCCAGGCACCAAGCTCAGAAGCCAGTCGTACCTCCCAACGTAACAATTCAGCCACGGTCGCGCGGCCCGCCCTTGAGCCGAACCACCAAAACATCAAGAATTCATAATCCTAAGTTCATAGAGTGAAATTCTCAAATATTTTATTCAAAATATCAAATTTATTTAACCTTGATTAATATAATATTTCTATATGAATATATTGTATCAAAATATTAAATTTAAGTGTAAAATTTATAATGTATTTACATATATTATTATTAAAAATGGTATAATTTCTCTTATATGTGCATGCAAATATTAAAACAAAATATCAATGTATATGTTCAAGAAATACTCAATAAATATATAAAATCAAACAACCAAATATGATCCAAAATTAATTATAACGAATAAAGTTAAAAGGAAATATTCTTTTCTTTATGCTAACGATTCTTTTTTTATGCTGGATTTGGGTGGGTTCATTTTTTTATGCTAACGGTCTTTTTTTATATGCTGAGGGTCTTTATTTTTATGCTGAGGGTTTCTATTTTTATGCTGAGGGTTTGTATTTTTATGCTGAGGGTTTAGTTTTTATTTTTATGTTAACGAATGTAATTGTCGCGGGATTTTATTTGAAAATGAATTGTCGCGGGGCTTTAGTGGAGAATGTAATTATCGCGGGGCTTAGTAAAGCATGTAATTGTCGCAAGGCTTTATTGGAAGGGCGGCGGCTCACCTGCGCATATAGATTTAACTCATCTGCGCTCACACATTTTGTTAACACTTGCGCCTATCTATGCACACAGATTTGACTCATCCGCGCACACAGTCCATCGGGGAAACTCAAGTGCGCACACAGGCCCTTTCCCGCATGTTTGCTCACTTTAAAAGGGTCGTCAAGATGGAATAGCCACTTCCTCCTCTAAATTTTACCCTGCCCACAAAAGGGTGAGTCAAGTTGAAATGACAACATCCTTCTCTAAAATTTACCCACCCGAGGGTTACCAAAGGGTTCTCAAAATTCTACCCTGCCCACAAAAGGGTGAATCAAGTTAAAATGGCAATATCCTCCTCTAAATTATATTTTCGGGGGGTTCACCAAAGGGTAAATCAACTTATAAGGGCAACATCCTTCTTTAAATTTTACCTTGCCCATAAAAGGGTGAATCAAGTTAAAATGGCAACATCCTTCTCTAAATTTTACCCTTGGATGGCTCACCAAAGGGTAAATCAATTTGACATGACCACTTCCCTCTTTAAACTTTTTCCCTGCATGGCCTACAAAAGGGTATGTCAAATTAGAATAATCATTTCCTTCTCTAGATTTTACCCTGCCCACAAAGGGCGAGTCAAGTTAAAATGGCAACATCCTTCTCTAAATTATACCCTCGGGTGGCTCACCAAAGGGTAAATCAATTTAGAAGAACAATATCCTTCTCTAAATTTTACCCCTGCCCACAAAAGGGTAACCAAGTTGAAATAACCACTTCCTTCTTTAAATGTTACCCCTACATTGCCCACATAAAGGAGTATAGCAACATCCTTCTTTAAACTTTACCCCTACATCGCCTACAAAAGGGTAAGTCAAGTTAAAATGGCAATATCCTTCTCTATATTTTATCCTCGGGTAACTCACCAAAGGATAAGTCAACTTAAAATAATCACTTCCTTCTTTAAGTTTAATTCCTACCTTGCCCACAAAAGGGTAAATCAAATAAAAATAATAACATCCTTCTTTAAATTTTACCTCGAGTAACTCACCAAAGGGTAAGTCAACTTAAAAACCCCTCTCACGATATAAATATAAAAACAACGACGAACATAACATACCTTTTTTATGCCATACAATACAATATTACACAAAAAACATTTAAAGCCAAATAATTACTAAAACTCCCCGACGATTATATTCGATAACACCCCGACGCTTACATTCGATACTAAAGACCCCCGACAATTAAATTCTATACTAAAACTCCCCGACAATTACATTCGGTACTAAAGCCCCTCGACAATTACGTTTTATACTAAAACCTCCTAAGAATTACTTTCTGTACTAAAACCTTCCGACAATCACTTTTTATACTCAAACCTCCCGACAATTATTTACTATACTAAAAACCTCTCAAAAATTACTTTCTGTACTAAAACCTATCGACAATTACATTCTATATTAAAGCCTCCCGACAATTACATTCTACACTAAATCCTCCTAACAATTACATTCTACACTAAAACCCCCCAACGTAACCTCTTCCCACAATACCACATAAAAAAAAAGAACCCTTAACATAAAAAACCATTAGCATAAAAAAAAATCATAAACAAAAAATTACAAGTATAATAAAAAAAACCATTAACATAAAAAACCCACTATAAGCATTAAAAAAAAAAACACATCCCAAAAGCACACCAACCCCGCTATAAGCATAAGAAAAAAAACCATTAGCATAAAAAAAAACACCCAACCCAATTTAAAATAAATCAAGATTATTTATAATAAATCATACGAAATTCGAATCCGCGACCGACGACGTCGGAACGTAATAAAATTACTCAATAATACATAACCCAAGACGAAAACAAAATATACTATATTTAAAAATCGAAATATATAAAATAATATATTATTTAGAAAGAAATCCGAACCGCAACGGAAATCATAAACCAAAAAAAAAAACAAGATTAAAAAAGAAAAGGCAAACATATAAGAAATAATCTAATTATTTCGAATATTTTTCTTCAGAAATCCGCGTATTTTTATTCGATCGCACCCCAATCCGTAATATTAATACTAATTATCATAAATTTTCCCATACAAAAATGCGATTTGGGGTTTATAATACAATTGAAACGTCCTGTATAAAGTTCGATTACCTTTGATTCCCCCAATCAATCTATTCTTTCTTTTTTCCTTGATGCGATGCTTGGTCCCTCATTGGCAAGTTATTTGCTTTTTTCACTTCATTTGCTGAGCGCAAACTTTGTGCACATCCCAGCGATAGCCTGAATCATCAATACAAATTGCCAGAAACAGACCGGAGAGCTAAGAAGAAATGCAGTGACGCGCAAACTTCACCCTAATTTTCATGAAAGTATGCCTGGAAGAATAGGCTGAAGATGGAACATGTAGATATAGGTCCACCTCAGCTTGGAGGAGGAAAACAAAAGATATCTCTGGTGCCGATGAAGCGGAATCAATGAGCCATTCCTTGAGATAAAAAAGAACTGAGCTGCAGGATGGCAAAAATGCCCCACATGAAGACATGAAGGATATCCATAACGGACACTTCAACGATCTCGCCTCAGCCAACCACGGAAAGAAATGAAAAACCAGACAAAAAGCTGAAGATAGGAAAGAATCGGGGTGCCTCACTACTAGTAGCAAGAAGCTACTAGGAACAAAGAGCATCGCTATTAGGAGCGATCGGACGCTGCGAACGTAGGAAAGAACAGGACTCTCTGTGAAGCCGTGGAGCCTGCTTGCACAAAGGTGGACTGGGTGCGGAGCATAGATCGCTCTGAGGCAAAGGTTCGGTAGAGCAACTCCGGCAGAAGCACCTAGTGCTTCCGCAGAACTTTCTGTCTTTCTTTCCTTCAGAAAGAAGCATTGTTTTCGACCTTTTCTTCTTTTTTTACCCTTTTCTGGGCACAGGTTCTAAACCGCGAACAAGAACTACTATCTTGACAGGATACACTCCAAAATCATTGGAGCACTTGATTGTGCCGGGTTGCAATAAATTCCAAAGCCAAAGCATCCAAGAAAAGAGCAGGGAGATCTGTCGAAGAGAGAATCCAATGGCAGCCCAGCAAGTTTAACAACAGAGCTGCACAAATCCGAGGTAAAAAGCAACCTGTGCGGTACCAGGGAGTTCGTGCGCGGCTTCAAACGTCGGGCGGAAGCATAAGTGTGCAATGCAGACCCACGAAGACTTCTGCTAGAAAGCAGGTGTGCCAAGCGACCCATACAAAGGGATGCCTTCATACCCCTGGTCAATCCGACCTTAGTTGCAAAGAAGCTCTTGGACATGGGAGAATGCGGATCCATCCAATCAAAGAACTGTGTCTTGGTGAGATCCAAGTTGAAAGGCTCTTTGATTGACCTTTCCAACCTTTGGCCTCATACAATGTTGGTTCCGGTCAAAGTCAAGTCAAAGGATTCATCCTCTCCGATCTGAGCCATCTCATGCCATCTCACCATACCAGCAAGGGCTTCGCTACTAGGAGCAAGGACGCTACTAGGGGCGCCTGGCATCACTGCTAGTAACAAACTTGGTGTCTTCATATTGAACCGCATTGAACCAAGGCGGCAATGGTGCGGTTGCTTGGCCCATGGTCCTTGGCTCCGCCAAGCGATGACTCCCCATTCCTCTCTTTTTCAGGAACCAAGGCGTGAGACCGACGGACCTTTGCGGCACCGGGCTTTCGGAAGCTCTCAAGGAAAGGAGTTCCAACAAGAAGCCCAAGCCTTCAACGCTCCAAGCCGAGCCTCCAAGCACTGGGTCACTGGCGCGATGGGTGTGACCCAAAGCAAATCCTCAGCATCTTTGACTTTTTGCCAACAATTTAGATGGATCTTCTTTCACGGTAATGCCTACGCACCGGCTGCTTCTTATACTCATCCTTCATGAAAACATAGGCCTGAGGTTGATCAAAGTTGGGCATACAACGGTTTGCTCACCACAGTATACAAGTGCTGCCTCATGCCTTGAACTGGTTTCTCGGAGTGTACTGTTCAAAGAACTGCAAAGAGCTGGACATGTCTACCTACCGTTTTGTCAAAGCGAACTTCAAGACTTGTGGAGCCGCGGAACAAGTGGTAACTGCTGGTCGAACAGGATCTTTTCCACAAGTCATCTCAACCGTATCCTCTGCGAAAATTAAGGCATAAATGATCCGCTTTAGATGGAGTAGCCTGGAAAATCAAACAAACACTTCAGGCAAGTGAGAAAGATGACACCTTTTACCACGCCTTTAGGGCCTAGGATCTTTTTCACTATTCCAAAAAGCAACACACACCAAACGAACATTGGAGACAGCGAATAGTCGCATTTTTTCGACAAATCAACCACATGAATGAATGCGTTCCACACCGTAGACGCCTCGCTCGTCCAAGGCTCGTAGGCCAAGATACTGGCGGAGCGCACCTCTGCGATGCAGGTCAAGGTCCAAATGAAGACGATGGACTCAGCGCGGTGGCGCGTGCACATGTCACAAACACATGTCAACACATGCCGTGCACCAGTGGGTTCCAAGTGTGAAATTAGAAGGACCACCTATGGGTGCGTCGCATTGGGGGACGTCTCTTCTTTTGGCCAAGGAACCGCAGTGAAAAGCGGCTGTGACAGCGGGATGTTGCAGATCTTCGCTTGGTCGCTGGAGGACAAGGAGCTGAAAGCTTCCTCGTTGGGTACTGCACCAGTCTTCCCACGCCAGAAGCCATTCACTGTCTCCTCCACTTCAGCCCCATACAGGGCTTTCTCGTAAAGGCCTGGTTGAAGTCGTGAAGATGTAATCCAAACACCACTAGGAGCAAGGACGCTACTAGTAGCTCCTGGCATCGCTCCTAGGAACAAGAAGCTAGTAGGGGCTCCTGGCATCCCTACTCGTACTAGGAGCAAGAAGCTACTAGGGGCTCCTGGCATCGCTACTAGGAGCAAGAAGCTACTAGGGGCTCCT